GAATGAAATGATGGGTCGTGCTTTCTGCCAGTCCTTGGTCGGCTTTGGAAGGATGCGAGCTGTGGGCAACGGTGCTTGAAGTCGAAGTCCCCATGCATATCGCTGACGTAGGAGGGAAGGTACCGTAGTGACCACTTCAGAGCGAAAAGATGCTGCGGATTCACGGCAAAGCGAAAAGACATCTCCCGAGCAAAAGGTCTTCCGCATCAGTATGGCAAACAAGGACGGACAAATCACATGTGCGCGGGAGGGGAAATGATCCGCGGGGATTACAACCCACGATGACAGAGAAGCCACGGTGCGCTGTAACGATGTCGATGACCAATAAGTACGATCTTGAAGGTTAGCTCGATGAGTGTCCATCAACTGAGTCAAAACCGGCTGCAGATCAACAAGAAGACTGGAACCATGCACATGCCAGCGACGAGTAAGTTTGCGAAATTGCGTGGTGAAACGTTGATGTAACAAGTCGACATCACCGAAATACTGATCCTTCATTGATGCGGCCATGATTTCCATGTCAATGTCCGCATTGATGCGTGAGAACTCATCAACCATTACAGCATGTCCATGTGCTCGGTGTATATGGTGATCATCGACGTCCAAACAGCGACACGGAAAGAATGTTTCAGGAGTCCATCTGCGCTGCCATGTGCGGTAGTTGTAGATCTTGTCGCCCAACGTGGCACTGCGAGTTTCCACCACCCGGATCTTTGGGAGGAAAAGGGAAGGAAACAAATCACGATGAGAAGCAATCCAGCTTTGTAACCATGTGCCTGCCAAGTAGAGCTTTCCAATTCCGGACATGTACAGGCGGTAGGAGTAGTTGTGTCAAAGTAGTGGGTGATTGTAGCTGTCGTTTGCGTAACACCTGGGCGAGGAGTTTCTGCGCCTTGGAGCGGAAGGGCTCGTTGACAAAGACGGAGAGCCGCAGAAAGTAGTAAAGCTGAGTAGGAGGGAAAGCTGCCGACAGAAGGTCACGCATGGCTTGGAACGATGCACCTGTATTGGATCCCAGCTGATAGAGAATAGAGTAATGGGCCTGAATGTCATCCAGCATGTCGGGACGTAGTTGCCGTTGGAGATCCGGATGTAGTCGTCGTCTAAAGCGTTTGTGCAAGCCGAGGGAAGTGGGAGACGACAACGAGTGACGTCGAAAATCAACGAGGTGTTCCCGGAAGCCCACCTTTCGCAGAAGTCTGTGTACCCAGGGTGCATTCAAATGCGGGCGTAGCAGGTATTGCCATTTGCTTTCCTGGACCCAAACCGAGGAAACGGGAAGTTTGATCTCAACCGGAACAGCACAGAAGAGCCAGTAAGTATTGGATCGCTTCCAGTAGTGAAGCGCGGGTTCGAAGAAGGCATGACGTCCCCGAAGTAGTTGTAGAAATTTGCGACTGCGTGAGTGTTCACGCCGCAGAACATCCTGATCAGTCGCACCAACGTAGTAAGGTGTGTGCCATGGGGAAAGTCGGATGTAGACGCACGGTTGTTGATGATGACCTGGATCGTGAATGAAGTCATAGAGGTCCGGAAATCGTGCCCGCAATGAGCGAAGATGTCGCGTGTCTGCAAAAGTGGAGTGCATGATTTCACACAAAAGAGAAGCCTTGTAGAAGTGAAGGACCTCAAAGAACGGCGGAGAGTAGCCATGATCTTGGGAAATGAGACGTTGTAAGAAACTGATCAATAAATAGGCAGTGCACCGACATCTATGAATCTCATACCTGTTGGCCACAGTGTGTTGAGAGTGTGACATAGCGTGATTCGGAATCTGAAGGGCAATCCGGACCACAACTAAGACTTCCAGAATGAGGCCCAACCACGGTAGTTGTGTGATTGATTCGTACTCATCAGCTGGTATCGACGGTGGTGGTAGTCCAGGGAAGCAGTATTGCCAGCACGTAGAGAACATGGTCAACGAGTGTAAAAAATTGTCCAGAGACTGCCATTGTGCAACATCATCATAGATTCCACAGCGGCGAAGCTCATCCAACATGGTGAAAATGCAACCAATGAAATCTACCATAAGGCGGCGACATGGATACAAGCTGCACAGACAATCACGCACAAGGCAATGCAAGCACAACCAAGCACAAGATCAAACTGATGCAACGCAGAAAGATGACGGACGAGTTTTAACCTTGACTCATCCGTGACACGGTTGCCGCTCCGGGCTCATAAGAGAACG